CCACACCCCACAACCCCCCGCCCCCCCCCCCCCCCATTCACTTCCCCTGCAGCCCTGAGACACAGCAGAACCGCTGGGACCAACACGGTGATTGGACTGGGAGGGGTTGCAGGATGGGGCCCTGGCCGGCTTTCTCATCCCGCATGGCTCCAGATGCCGTACAGCAGGAGGGGGGATTCTGGAGGGGTCTGACCAGAATGAGAACATGGAAAAAAATTGGTTCCCTTGTGCTCACCTGGCCCTCAGGGCCCAATTCAGCAGGTCTGCTCAGCGGTGGGCCAGCATCTCCAGGCCTGGTAGGACTCTGGCCGGAGGAGAAGGTGCCTGTCTCCGCGTGCTCAGCCCAGTGATGGGAGCACTCCCCTGCGATATGAAGAGACTGTGGGCTCTGGGTGTGCTCCCCCTGCCCTCCCATTTGGGGAAGCCCTCTTCTTGGGGCACATAAGAGGCTGAGGCCCCCTTGCCCACCAGAGTCAGAGTAGCCCCAACACCCCATCACTGCCCAGCCCCACCTACTATGCCTGGCACAGAGGGGCAGGGCCGGCCCTTCCTCTGTCAGGGCCAGGTGCCATCACACTGCAGAGCCCCTGTACTGGGGAAGCTGGGGTTTCAGGGTGATCTCCCCACCTCAGTGCAGCCAGTGGCCTGTGCTCCCCTCTGCTAGAAATGGGAAGATCTGGGATCTTCTCAATGGGCTTCGTGTCCCAGATTTCCAGTGTGACGTTGGCCCGTCATCTAAGGCTTAATCTCAAGGGGAGCTTTTCCACTGATATTTTTAAAGGGGATAATAACAACTCTTGCCTGCCTCACAGGAGTGTGTAAATCCATTGGTCTGGGTGAGGTGCTTTGAGGTCGGCAGATGGAAAGTGCTGAGAAGGGCAATTTTGGGAACTGTTTTTTTGACAATTCCAAAACCTTTCTGCTTCATTCATGCAGCAGCCGCTGCTCCTGGACGGCCAGAGAATGTCAAGCGGGGACATGATGGGATAACTCCTCCTCCCACTGTGTGACGCTGGAGCTGTTTGCCAGAGGAGATGGGTAGAGAGAGCAGGGTCCCACCCGGCCTCCTCCATCCTCACTTTACAAAGGGCTGGACAAAGAGGCAGCTAGGCCAGCCAGCCTTGTGCTGTGTGTGCAGTAAGTGTGTGTGCTGCGGGGGGGCTGGCTCATTTGCGGCAGCAGGCCCCCTGTGCCGGCCTGTCCTCAGGGCTGGCTAAGTGGCCTCCTGCAGCAAGGAGTTCCAGATGGTTTCAACAAAAATACTGGACACACTTGACATGACATCACAATCGACATTCCATCTTGTTTGAAAAATACATCTTCAGTGTTATTTTCTCATTTTTACTTTCTCAGTTTGTTTCCCGAACAGAAAGCTCAAATACTGGACTGTCTGGTTCAAAACCGGACACCTGGCAACCCTGTAAGTTGGACTGAGCAGAGCAGTAAATGTCCATCCGGTTCAAAACCGGACACCTGGCAACCCTGGGCAGAGCAGTAAATGGCCCGGAGGAACAGATCCCCTTCCATGTGAGCCAGGGCCCTTCAGAGCGTCCCCACAGGTGAGCAGTGCCCTGGCCTGGCAATTAGGGGAGGGGAGAGATGAGGGAGACAGTGGAAGGGGGCGGGGCCTGGGCAGGGTTGCTGCTGCCTCCCCAAGTGTCAGCTTCAGTCACTGCCCACACTTGGAATCATGGTTAAAATTACCCCCCTCCGACCCCCAACCAACATCTCCAGTGGCCCTTCTGGTTGAGGCCCTGACCTCATAGGTGGCAGGTCCCAGGTCACATCCCTTCTACCCCCCATGCAAAAGGGTGATTGGAACGGGGAGGGGCTCCCGCTGCCTTAAGTTCCCACCAGGCAGCAGGTTCGGAGCAAAGGCCTCTCTTTGTGTGAACCCCTGCCAGAGGGACACCGGCCGGCCAGCTGCCAACCACTCATCTTCCTGGAGGCAGGGGGGGGAACAGGGAGAGGGAAGCCGCCTACACATCGCCAGAGCCAGCAGCACAGGGTCTGGGGAAATGTATTTTCTCAATTTGTTTCCCGGGCAGGAAGCTCAAATACTGGACTGTCCGGTTCAAAACCGGACACCTGGCAACCCTGGGCAGAGCAGTAAATGGCCCGGAGGAACAGATCCCCTTCCATGTGAGCCAGGGCCCTTCAGAGCGTCCCCACAGGTGAGCAGTGCCCTGGCCTGGCAATTAGGGGAGGGGAGAGATGAGGGAGACAGTGGAAGGGGGCGGGGCCTGGGCAGGGTTGCTGCTGCCTCCCCAAGTGTCAGCTTCAGTCACTGCCCACACTTGGAATCATGGTTAAAATTACCCCCCTCCGACCCCCAACCAACATCTCCAGTGGCCCTTCTGGTTGAGGCCCTGACCTCATAGGTGGCAGGTCCCAGGTCACATCCCTTCTACCCCCCATGCAAAAGGGTGATTGGAACGGGGAGGGGCTCCCGCTGCCTTAAGTTCCCACCAGGCAGCAGGTTCGGAGCAAAGGCCTCTCTTTGTGTGAACCCCTGCCAGAGGGACACCGGCCGGCCAGCTGCCAACCACTCATCTTCCCCTGGCTTGTGACTAGCTCCCGGCACAGACTGGAGAGGGGTGTGGGACAGGGAGAGGGAAGCCGCCTACACACAGCCAGAGGCAGCAACACAGGGTCTGGGGAAATGTTTACTGCAAAAACACAGGCCCTGAGCTAGTGTTTTGGCCCCTACAGGGAGCATCTGGGAAGACGTGTGCTCAGCACTCTAGGCCCCACGTCCGTGGGTTAGACACACAAAGCTGCCTGTGGAGCAGGGGATATGCTGTCCCTGCCAGACTTACAGCAATACCTACCAGATGTGATCCTATTCTTCCCCCCCTCTCCTTTCCCCTGTTCCCTCCAATCTCCCTCCATTCCTGTTCTGTTTCCCTCCCACCTTCTCTCTGCCCTGCCCCCTCTTTTCAGTTTCACTTTCAGGTTCTGCCCTTCCCCTTCCTTCCGCCTCCTCTTTCTTCTTCTCCCTCAGTGTCAGCACAAGCCCGCGCCCGGCAGAGCAGACACACGCCCGACGGCCATGGCCTCCACAGCGACAGCAGGGGAATTGCAAGAAGAAGCCACTTGCCCCATCTGCCTGGGGTATCTGACAGAGCCGGTAACAGTCGCCTGTGGGCACAACTTCTGCCGAGCCTGCCTCACCCGGCACTGTGAGCAACAGGGAGCAAAGACCCCCCCAGCCTGCCCCCAGTGCAGGGCCCCATTCCAGAAGGGGCAGTTCAATCCCAACACCCAGCTGAGCAACATTGTACTGAAGCTGCAGCAGCTGGGGCCACAGCCCGGAGCAGGGCGAACGGAGGGTCTGTGTGAGAGACACCAGGAGCGTCTCAAACTCTTCTGCCAGGAGGATGGAGCTGCCATTTGTTTGGTGTGTGAGAAATCCCGGGACCACAAGTCCCACACGGTGGTGCCCGTCGAGGAGGCTGCCCAGGAGTACAAGGTAGGAGACGCTGCTGACTGTGCCTAATTAAAGCCCTACAGACCCCAGGTTTATCCCCTTCCCAATACAGGGACAACAGTTCACAGCCGGCTGCTGTAAGGGAGGCAGCTAAATGAAAGAGTCTGGTTTTCAGAGGGGCAGTGGGAAAAGATCCAGATTCTGCATCCCCCCACACCCTGACAAAGAGAACAGGGCCGGCTGCTCTCTGTGCACCTGTCACCCGCCTGCCACGGGGAGTGGGCAGCAACCAGGGCTGGGCTCAATATCTGGGGGTTCCCTTTCAACAATACAACATGGAACTGGCTCAAATCCCCCCCACCCCCCAGTAACTCAGGCAAATTACACCCCTCCCCTGAGCTAAGTTCCCTCCGTGGGCGCTCACAAAGAATTCTGATCCCACCCACCGGCTCAGCAGAGCCCCCCAGCACTCCCTTAACTGGGACTTAGGTCGAATTAACTAATTCGAACTAAGTTAGTTCGAATTAGCGCTGTAGTGTAGACATACCCCTAGTGTTTAGGCTTCTACAAGGCACATCTGGGAAGACGTGTGCTAAGCGCTCTAGGCCCCACGTCCGTGGGTTAGACACACAAAGCTGCCTGTGGAGCAGGGGATATGGTGTCCCTGCCAGACTTGCAGCAATACCGACCAGATGTGATCCTAGTCTCCCCCCCCCGCTTTCCCCTCTTCCGGCTGCTCTTGGGGTGGGCCGCATGGCAGGTGGCTACCAGAGCTGAAGCCATTTCTAATATAGCCATGTGGTCCTTCTCTGAAAGTGCTGCATAGTTTTTCCTTTTGTTTAATTCCTGTTCTGTTTCCCTTCCCCCTTCTCTCTGCCCTGCCCCCTCTTTTCAGTTTCGCTTTCATGTTTTGTCCCTTCCCTTCCTTCCAACCAAAACAATGTTCATTTTCCTGTGGTTCAGTTCAGTTCTCTGACCTCGGATTTTTGCATTTCACCTCCTAAGCACAGGCCTGTCCCTTTAAAAACAGGATGTCTGGTCACTCTTGTGTAATCTTGACAAAGTCTGTATCATACCGCTGCTGATTAGGATCATATTACAGTAGAACGTGTAAATTATGCAGGTTCAGCCCTGAGTAGTAGCTGGATGGATGAGACCACTAAGGAAATCAGAGGTTCTTTAGGAAGAGATGTTCTTGATAGCACTTCTCCTCCCGAGTCAGTACAAAACCACTTCTCCTCTGTGCTACCATGGATGAGTGAAAATAGACACCCACTATGTGCTGTCAGTGAGTTCTCATGGCGCTTTCCACAGCAGTAGGTCTGTTAACCCCTGTGTCTGGCCATATCTCAGTTCTGCCAGGAGTTTAAACTGTTAATTGATAATCCATTTATCAGTTTCCATTATGGTTATAGTAGTATAAAGTTATTCTGCAGAGCATGCAGTGAAGCCCGGCTTCCTGGAAGGGGGCCGGCAGCCAGTGCACACCTATGGTACATCTAGACTGCACGCCTTTCGAAAAATGCGTTTTCAAAAGACACTTTCAAAAAAGCACGTCTAGACTACATTATGTGGATCGGAAAATTGATGTGCTTTTTCGAAAAAGAGCGTCCTGACTGCTGGATGCTCTTTCGAAAGAAAAAGCCACCCGGAACCGCTTCTGCCAGGGCATGGGGGCAGCATTTCCTTCCGGGTGCTGCTGCTTACCCTTTGCAGAGACTTGTGGTTAAAGGGACCCCCTGAACACCCATTGCTCTGCTCCTGCAGCTGCCTTTGCTGTCCCTCCAGGAGGTAAGCAAGGTATTGAAGTGCTTGTTTGGAGTGCTCAGCTTCCTGGGACAGCACAGCAGGTTTTTCTAACTCCTGCCCCTAGTGACTACAATCCCCTAGTCGGGGATTAAGCCCCAGGAAACCTGGGCCCAACCTTGTTGGGGTTTCGAGGACTCTGCTACTCAGGAGAGTGGAGGGGGAGCCCTCAGGATCAGGGAAGCCGTGGGGTAAAGGAAGTGGGAGCGGGGACTCAGATCCTTTTGCTGGTCCATTTCACCAGGGTGGTATAGAAGCCAGGAAAGTTCCCCACAATAGCGGGACCATTCCCCCGCTTACATATGCATGTACTTTAGAGTTCAAACAGATTCACTCAGTGGCATCTTTACTGATTCAGCACAGTGGGAAGAGAATTTCCCCATTATCAGAGACCATAAATCACATGTTCCCTTCCAATCAATTTCAGATGTCGTTTCCTTACTGTTTCACTCAGGGCATGTCTTCACAGCAGCATTTTTTTGCAAAAACGTCAGTTATTCTGAAACCACCATTTTTAAATGCCCCGTAGTTCAAACTACCTGGCCGCGGCTACACGTGGCACGGACTAGGTAGTTTGAATTAAAGCTCCTAATTTGAACTACCATTATTCCTCCTGCAATTCCTCCTGTAGCCACAGGCAGGTAGTTTGAACAACTGGGCATTTAAAAATGGCGGCGCCTGGGAACATGCAAATGAAGCCCAGGATATTTAAATCCCGGGCTTCATTTGCAAGTTTGAATGCCTACATTAGCCACCCTAGTTCAAACTAGGGTGGCAGTGTAGACACACCCCCCCTGTCTCTCCCCAGCCCCTGCTGGCTCCCTGGCTCAGGGTGTCCCTGCAGCAGCACTGCAGGGGTGTGAGAAGCTGCGGCCTGGGCCCTTGGGCAGGGAGAGGAGGGAGCTCGAGGTCTCAGTGAAAAAAGTGAAACAGGGAAGCCTGGAGGGGGCTGAGGAAGGGGCGTGAGGGGCTGCCCAGAGCGGGGCCGACAGGACAGGAGCACGTCGCTCTGCCGGGTGACTGTCAAAGGGGAAGGGGACCCAGGGTTATGGCAGCCCAGGAGCAGTTATCGGTGTCTGTTCCCCCAGAGCGAGCGCGTACAGAGGAGAGCGGAGTGTGGGTCTGGTTCCTGCCTGGGGCAGGGCAAAGCTGTCCCATCCATAGGACTGTTCGGGGCAGCACCCTGGGCTCTGTGCTTTGTGGGGGGGAGGGAGGAGAAAGAAGTCCAGAGAGGCCTGTGAAATTACTGGGGGGGGGGGGGG